GTTTCGGGACATGTAACAGATAGCGTTCCCATTTTCAGGGTCTGTTTAGCCATTATTCCCAACAGAACCTTGTATTTGCATCTCATTTGAGAATGCAGATTTTTTTAGTTATGTTTCGGGACATGTAACAGATAGCGTTCCCATTTCCAGGGTCTGTTTAGCCATTATTCCCAACAGAATCCTGTATTTACATCTCATTTGAGAATGCAGATTTTTTTAGTTATGTTTCGGGACATGAAACAGATAGCGTTCTCACTCCAGGGTCTGATTAGCCATTATTCTCAACAGAACCGTGTACTTGCATCTCATTTGAGAATGCAGATTTTTTTAGTTATGTTTCGGGATATGTAACAGATAGTGTTCCCACTCCAGGGTCTGTTTAGCCATTTTTTCAACAGAACCGTGTATTTGCATCTCATTTGAGAATGCAGATTTTTTTAGTTATGTTTCAGGACATGTAACAAATAGCGTTCCCACTCCAAGGTCTGTTTAGCCATTATTCCCAACAGAACTCTATATTTGCAACTTATTTGAGAATGCAGATTTTTTTTAGTTATGTTTCGGGACATGTAACAGATAGCGTTCCCATTTCCATGGTCTATTTAGCCAATATTCCCAACAGAATCTTGTATTTGTATCTCATTTGAGAATGCAGATTTTTTTAGTTATGTTTCGGGACATGTAACAGATAGTGTTTCCTCTCCAGGGTCTGATTAGCCATTATTCCCAACAGAACTTTACATATGCATCTCATTTGAGAATGCAGAATTTTTTAGTTATGTTTCGGGACATGAAACAGATAGTGTTCTCTCTCCAGGGTCTGATTAGCCATTATTCCCAACAGAACCGTGTACTTGCATCTCATTTGAGAATGCAGATTTTTTTAGTTATGTTTCGGGACATATAATAGAAAGGGTTCCCATTTTCAGGGTCTGTTTAGCCTTTATTTCCAACAGAACCCTGTATTTGTATCTCATTTGAGAATGCAGATTTTTTTAGTTATGTTTCGGGACATTTAACAGATAGCGTTCCCTCTCCAGGGTCTGATTAGCCATTATTTCCAACAGAACACTGTATTTGCATCTCATTTGAGAATGCAGAATTTTTTAGTTCTTTTTCGGGACATGAAACAGATAGCGTTCTCACTCCAGGGTCTGACTAGCCATTATTCCCAACAGAACCGTGTACTTGCATCTCATTTGAGAATGCAGATTTTTTTAGTTATGTTTCGAGACATATAATAGATAGGGTTCCCATTTCCAGCGTTTGTTTAACCATTATTCCCAACAGAACCTGTATTTGCATCTCATTTGAGAATGCAGATTTTTTAGTTATGTTTCGGGACATGTAACAGATAGCGTTTCCTCTCCAGAGTCTGATTAGCCATTATTCCCAACAGAACACTATATATGCATCTCATTTGAGAATGCAGAATTTTTTAGTTATGTTTCGGGACATGAAACAGATAGTGTTCTCTCTCCAGGGTCTGATTAGCCATTATTCCCAACAGAACACTGTACTTGCATCTCATTTGAGAATGCAGATTTTTTTAGTTATGTTTCGGGACATATAATAGATAGGGTTCCCATTTCCAGGGTCTGTTTAGCCTTTATTTCCAACAGAACCCTGTATTTGTATCTCATTTGAGAATGCAGATTTTTTTAGTTATGTTTCGGGACATGTAACAGATAGCGTTCCCTCTCCAGGGTCTGATTAGCCATTATTCCCAACAGAACACTGTATTTGCATCTCATTTGAGAATGCAGAATTTTTTAGTTATGTTTCGGGACATGAAACAGATAGTGTTCTCACTCCAGGGTCTGACTAGCCATTATTCCCAACAGAACCGTGTACTTGCATCTCATTTGAGAATGCAGATTTTTTTAGTTATGTTTCGAGACATATAATAGATAGGGTTCCCATTTCGAGCGTTTGTTTAGCCATTATTCCCAACAGAACCTGTATTTGCATCTCATTTGAGAATGCAGATTTTTTAGTTATGTTTCGGGATATGTGACAGATAGCGTTCCTATTTCCAGGGTCTGTTTAGCCATTTTTCCCAATAGAACCCTGTATTTGCATCTCATTTGAGAATGCAGTTTTTTGCATTAGGTTTTGGGACATGTGAACAGATAGAGTTCTCATTTCAGGTCTGTTTAGTCATTATTCCCAATAGAATAGACCCTCTGGATTTTTCTCATATGAGATTAGCAACTTTTTCATTAGGATTCGGGACATATTAAGACTTCAGATAGTTTTTTGCGTCAGAGGCACGCTAAAGTCCAGAAAAATCCCATATCAGACATCTTTCACAGATTAATATATACAGATAATGTTCTTAATCAAGCAGAAATTCAAACAGAGAAGAGCACTTACAAGGTATGAATCTTTGCTTTTCAAGAACTTACAGGTTCACATATGGTTCCACCCCGTGGTGTCCTTGGCCTCAAGTACTCCGTTTTTACCATTCTGTAGTTCCATCGGAACAATACCAACCTAAAAAAGAAAGAAAGAACTCAATGAACATTTTAAGCACAATAACTTAATACGCTTCATCACAAAGATAATAAGGTAGAAATTTCAGAAAAGATTACCATCGTCATAAGCTTGCGAGCGAGAGAGATTGATTTGATAAGAAGAGAAAAGAGGACTAACGTGGGCTTCGACTAAGTATGTCTCTTGATCGCACCTGTACAGAGTTTCCAGAAAATGTTACAGAACTTCAAAGAAAAACAGGAAAGATGCAACTTTTTCTATAAAACCAGATTTTTCTACAAAACCAGACCTTCACGCGTGGAATCAGGAAGAAGCATGCAAATGAAGAAAAACTAGGGTTTCTGGCCTTGGATTCACTAGGTGGGTAAACGTAGAAATCAGTACGGAGAAACCGAAATTAAGAGATGAGTAGCGGAGTCACAAGAAACTCCAAGAACCGGAAGAGATAGCGAAAGAAAAACCCAGATAGATTCAATCGCCATTAGAGGGGGGAGAGGGGGAGAGAGAGAGAAATGATGGAATAAGAATCCAGATCCTCTTATTTAAGGGTCGGCATTTTCGCCCAAAAAGAAAAGACAGAGTGTAAGGGTATTTTCGATATTTCATAATAACCCAGTTTTTTCCATTAAAACGGTCAGAAATCAGGCCCATTTGAATTCAAAAATTGGGCCGATTACATGATTTACACGCAAACCCAAAAGATTGCAAATTTCTTGTCACTTATATTAATGTAAATATTAAGAACTCCGTATGCCTGCCAGATTCAATTTCCAAATACGTACTTGATTTTTGTGGGACAAGAATCTCCACACCTTTTTGCTAGTTCTATCATTCCACCACATCTCCAAGTGATTTCCGACTCATGTATGCTGTGATGATATCAGAGTGAAAGACCTGTCATACATATACTGAAAAAGATGTTTGAATCTTAGATCAAGCCTCGTCCTCCGCCGGCGTAAAAGCGGGCGGCTTGAACGTCGGAGGCTTCGGCGGGAGATTTCCCAGATTCCTCTGGATATCATCGCACGTCCTTGTACATGAAGTGATAATCCCCCATCGAATCACCGATTCGCAAAGCCTTTTCGAACAGAGACAGATCTCTTCGAAACTTGGATCGAAAATAGCTTCTCCGCCTCTGGATGTTCTACTTAAATCTCTGAATAGCAATCCGGTTCACCTTTTTTTGTTTTCTTTTTCGGTTAAGAGAGTCAGAAATACTGAACCGGAGTTTAAATTAGTAGTAATGGACGATTCGGTATGTCGCGTTTCCGGTTTTCACCCGGTTCTTTTCGTGTACCGGAACCTCTCGACGATCCAGAAGCATCTGGCCTTAATTTCACAGAGCGTCTTCGGGTAAAAAGTAAAACCCACAACCTCAGATTGAGTACAATGTACGTTACACACGATTTACCACCTTCTGAAAGGCATTTTAACTGGAAACTCCCTGTTTTTACTGATATTCCAACCAAATCACTCAATAGGATTCATCGGGACAGCAAATTACAACAAAAGATAATACGACGAAAACATTTGATTGAAAGCCAAACAAAAATTTGACAACCAGGTAACAGTAAAAAAGATACAGAAGGAAAAAAAATCAAGACTTGTTGGTTTTCCGGTCTTTACACAAGATATGCCACTCCTGAAGAACCGCTGCCTGGAGGGCACGATGCTCCGTCTCCTCTGCTGTTAACTTTGACAACATCCCTTTCTCCTTCTCTTTCTTCTTCTTCTTCTCCTTCTTCTCTGGCTTCTCTCCCTCTTCTCCTTCTTTCTCTTTTTCTCCTTCTTCATCGTCCTCTTCCTCTTCCTCTTCCTCCTCCTCCACCTTTGGAGTCTTTTTGGGTCGAGCGGCTTTCAACAGAGCTAACCTTTCCATCGAGATTCTAAGCTTCTCAGCAGCTGCAGACTTGACATCGTCTTCGGGCATGTACTCAACCCCGCCTTCAGTCAGATCATCACACCATCCCTGAAGATCTGCCTCTATTTGCTTCGTGATGGATGCATCCGATGCTCGCACCACGAATTTGCACATCATCGTGGTCGTCTCATCACCCAGATCCACGTTCCTGCTCACTTCACTAGCTCCAAATATCATCATTCCCAGGAACCCTCCGTGCCATGTTTTTGCCGCGTAACAAAGCTGGAAAAAAAGAGATCGGGTCTGTTATGTGGAGAGCAGGGCAGAGAATGGAGAATTTCGGGTTCAGGGTTTATAAACTGACTAAGACCCGAGTGATAAGACAAGACGAGGAACTTTAAGAGGAAGGGCGGCGACATGCACCTGAAAACCAGCGACGGTACGGATAATGTGGGAACAGACCCTGTGGAATGGCTTGGAGGATAATGACTTCAGTCCGCTTAAGAAGGGCGAAGCTCCATATTGTTGAGCAGCGGTTGCCATGAAGCCACTTCCCTCGTAGGTATATGTGCCAGTGTACTCCACAACGGCTGGCAAACTTGGCCATAAGCGAAAAAACTCTACCGGCGAGATCTTGAGCGGCGAAAGAAGCTCTGTAAGCGGGATTTTGTAAGGCTGACATCTCAATATCACCGGCTCTCCAAGTTCAGGTCGTGAAACTCTCTTCTGCCTCAGCATCTGTGGATCTTCTTCTGCATAATCGCCTTCGTAATCCCCACCCGTTATGCCATGGAATGGATAGTATAGTACTTGGACCCAGAATGCACATCTTTCAAATTGGGAGACACCAACTGTTAGACTACATCTTACTGGATCCTACAACAGCAAAGGCACAAAACGTCAATAATGACAAAATGGCTGAGAGAATGAAGCCAGAAAAAACAAAAAACCATTGTTAATCTACGATGGAAATGCAACCTGTGAAACAAGATTACGCAACTGCCGCACTGCTTGAGGAGACCCATCCATGAAGTACAGGGCACCCGATAACCCGACCCGTATATCCACACGATTCAGCTCAAGCTCTGTCAAATTTATAATCTGAAAGCAATATCAAAACCTAGGTGAATAAGTCAATGGGGCCCAAAACAAGCCCTGCATAAACTAATTTATGAGAAAGAATATACACAAACCTTCAAGTGTAAAGTGACTCTTCCATCATTTGTATCTGCTAAATGGTAAGCTTCAATGTAGCAAGGATCACTGCTGCCAGTCAACGGATACGCCGTGGGAGAAACCTTCACTGAGGTTGAGTCGACCCCCTTTGTGAGGAAGAGAGTTAATTCACTAGGCTTTGGCCTCCAAAGCTCTACAATGGCCTTATGAATTAATCCTTCTAATTTCCTGTCTTGAGCAGCAGATGGTTCATAGAACTGAACAGTGAGCTTGTGGTGGCTGAATGGATAATCTCCTCTCGTTTCACTAACCCCAGGCCACCTGGAGAGCAACAAGTTTATATATGTTTCATTCCAGAAATGGCACAGGACCTAAAGGAACCAAACATACGTACTAGATTACGCAATGGGTTTCAGTCATTGTACTTTCAAGCGCTTGCCGCAAGCAGGAGACTAAGCAGAACACAATATCAAGCTAAGCAGAAAGAAAGCTCACTTGTTTTCAGGATGATTTGAAGCATATTTAATCCTTTGCAGAATTAAACGGGTCTGGTGCTTGCTAACTGTATCAGCAGCAGCATGATTCTTGTACTCTTCAAGCTCTTTGGTAATCAGTTGGCCAGCTCTTGCATGACGAGACCCCATCCTCTGGGCACATAATAAAACTGCCTGCACATCTTGCAGTCTATTTGACGTGTTTGCAGAGGCATCCATGTTGAACAGAACCTTATGCATATTTGCTATGATGATATTTAATGGGTCGTCAGGGTCATCTGCCAGAAGTGGATCGAGACCCTCCAGATCAATGTGTTCTGCAACTGTCCAAATAAGACGAGCAAGGATTCTCGGAGTGTTTACCTGCCAAATTATGGTGACGAAAGATCTATAAATTTGTTGGTGATCAAGTACTGAGAAATGGCACATGAAAAAAGATCAGCACCATTTAGCTTTCTTTCGCCGGGCACACAAAATTTAGATGAAAATTGACATGTTTACCTCTTGGAGATCCTTGACAAGCTCACGCTGCAAATTCTGCAATCTTGTCTCGTTTAAGATTTGATCCTGAGACGCACCATCTTTAAGTCGTTTCACTCCTCCCCGGGTATCATAACTGTGGCAGAGCCTAACAAGCAACTTCAAATAGCAATCTATCGCATAGGTCCGGCCATCACAGTCCCATTTGACACAAGGCTTGCAAACTTCCACGACTTCGAGGGCTGGCTCTGTCCAGTTCAGAGCACCATAACCAGTTCCATATGCTAGCGCACCGATCACTCTGCTCTCCATACCTGAGTTCTTCTGTTCAGGCAAAGGTAGAGATAACTGAAAGCAACTTTCCACGAGCATTGCCACCAACTCTTCCCGAAACAAGCTTTTACTGGTCACGCTATTAAGATCATCCTTTATCCTTGCATCCTCAAAGAGAGAAATAATATCTGTCCCAGGTAGAGGCTTCTGACCTCTTCGGACACTTTCCCTAGCAAAGAGATGAACACACAGAGCTGTCCGACAGATACAGGCCAAGGCATGCATCCTGTCTGATTCTGCTCTCAAGTTCCTCACCATAAGCAGCAATCTTCTAAACAATGAGACCTTCACCAGAAATAGAACAATTTAGAACACAATTTACCGCAGCTTCAAAACACAAACCGTGAAGAAAAAGGGCACTTGGTCACTGCATCCATCCTCATCGAGCTAAAGAACTGAACTCCAAATCGAATCTAGTAAATGAGGCCATTTACCTGCATATGCAGATCAAGCAAGTGCAAGTTCGTGACAACTGCCCTGACTATACTCTCTCTAGCGGAAGAAAACTCTTGCCTGTCCCAAAGGGTTAAAATTGCGATGATGGACAGCGAAGCCCACTCCGGTTTCCCTCCGGCAACATCAGCCAGGTAAAGCATGTTAATTCCCACCTCAAAGATCAAAGCTGGTTCCAGAGACGAAGCCAAGAAAGGCGCCAAATGCGTCACCAGATCTGAAACCCCGACCAACTTCTCAGCATTGGAGTCCACATCCGTACCATTAGTTGCAGCACCTGAGGAAGCCTTCGAAAGCTGCCTTATCACTTCCACGCTACCGGAAGCTACAGCCTTCACGGCATACACCAGAGGGAATACGGTGGCTCGAAAGCTTTCAACCGGAAGAACCAGAGACCTAGCCATCAAAGCGCTTCTCTTTTTCCACACAAAGTCAACCATGGATGATACCCACTTCGACCTGATGGCTAGGGAATTCTCGCTGTCCACGAGCTTGTCACCAGCCAAACGGCTCATCCGCTTCGAATCAAACTCCTGGAACAGCCTACCGACGGACTCAAATGCAACCTTCGAGACGGCATCAGATCTATCGAGCATGTTCTGCCCGATACGAGCCCACCAGTTGGACACTTTGTCCAGGAGGCCAACATTGTTCTCACACAGCGTGACGAGATCATCACGCGCCAGGATGCAGCCAAGAGTCTCGGTGATGGAGAAACGAAGGTTGTCAGATGGCGAATCGAAGCATGAAGCAATCTCAGTGCTGCAATCAGAGATGAGTTTAGGAAGCGAGAAGGACGGAAGAGCCGCGAGGATCGAGACGGCGGCGGCGGTAACGTCAGGGTCGGGGAAGTGAAGATCCGTCTTGATTCCAGAACAAACGGTGTCCCACAGATCCGGCGTAAGGCGCGTGGATCGAATGAGGTCGAACGCGAGCTTCTTACAGACGGCGGATGCCGGCGAAGCTACGATCTCCTCCACCGCAGATTTCGCAATGACTGAGATATCACGTCCGGCGGCAGATTGCTGCAGCGCCTGGAGAAGTGCCGACGACTGCCGAAGGGCGTCGTTGGAACGGAGGTCCGCCTGGATCTGGGCGAACAGTATGTCCATTTTCGGACAGTGTTATCCAGAAAACCCAATATATATAAATCAGGAAACCCGAGCTAGATTTGCGATTTGTCTGGATACAGATACGGATACGGCGTGGAAGAAAATCAGATGAACTAAGGGAGAACGAAGAAGACGATGGCGAGCAAAAGCGCTTTCGCGGAATCGCGGTGGAGAGCTGGCAAAACGGCGCGACGTCCGTATGTTGTTTATATAGATACATTATTGAGCTCCAACAGCGTGCCGTTTTGATTTGGTAACCGAGGCACACGAAAGACTAGTTATAGGCCCACATTACGTAATTAGGAAAGATTATGGGCCGAGTTTCATGGGCCGTTTCAGCAACGTGAACATATACTCTTTCGCCTTAGATTTTTATATCTTATTTCGTTGTTGCGTCGAGCATGTCGTTTTCAACCTGATTTCCCTCTCTTATCCTCCGTAGAAAGGAACCCACCTCCATTGAAAATATCTCTGCAAGAACGCGAAGAAGAATCGTGAAGAATTCTCAGGATCTCCGCCGGATAGTTTCTGCGTTCCGACGAATCAGAATCTTGGAAAACCTTAATTCTCATGGAAGGAGCATCCACTTGCTTCCATAGCAAATGCGTCTCGCTTCCAATCCGTTCTTTCCCACTTTCTAGGGTTTCTTCACTATCTCCGTGGAGGAACAGTAATTTTGCGTCTCCGAAGAAATTGGGTAGTCGGAGGAGCTTGTGCGTTGTTGCTTCGAGCTCGGATACTTTAGTCGCCGGCGGTTCGCCTAAGGAAGATGAGAGGCAAAATCAAATAGCGATAAGGAAGGAAGAAGATGAATTCGGAGATTTGAAGTTGTGGATGCATGAGAATGGGTTGCCTCCTTGCAAAGTTGTGCTCAAGGAGAGACCGTCTCATGATCAGAAGCATAAGCCTATACATTATGTCGCCGCTAGCGAGAATCTCCAGGTGTTTGACTCAGTATTTTCTTCTGGTTCATCTGCTTGCGAGTTTTGAGTGCTTGTTGTTGATGAAAGGTCTTTTCTCTTCTGGTTTTTCAGGAGGGTGATGTCGCATTTTCGGTTCCAAACTCATTGGTGGTGACACTAGAGAGAGTTCTGGGTAACGAGACTATCGGTATGGGCATTCTCTACCCCCATCTACCGTACCTTGAAGTTATGTTTCAATCCTGTGCAGTCATATCTGGGATAGATCTAGCAATTTGTGTTTCGTGGTTGCCAATACAGGGAGTGGTAGTGTTCTTAATACGGTACCCGATGCTTATCTGAAGGCATAAACTTTCAATGTTTTCATACAGCCGAACTGTTGACAACAAACAAATTGTCAGAACTGGCTTGCTTGGCATTGTACTTGATGTATGAGAAGAAACAAGGGAAGAAATCGTTTTGGTATCCGTATATAAGAGAACTTGATCGTCAGAGGGGAAGAGGACAGCTAGCTGTGGAATCTCCCTTACTGTGGTCAGCGGCCGAACTAGAATACCTAACTGGTAGTCCAACCAAGGTACTGTGTTCTAATGTGCATGAAGCATGATGAGGTAGTCGAGTTGGATTCTTAAAGGTGATCTTTGTGAACAATACATGGATCAGGTTGAAGTTCTTGAGAGGGCTGAAGGGATCAAAAGAGAATACAAGGAGCTTGATACTGTCTGGTTTATGGCCGGATCTCTGTTTCAGGTATTCAATAACTCCATTTGCTGCTAGGATTCTGTGTTTCTTTGTGTTCCAATCTGGAATGCAAACAGTCTCATTACACCAAGTGATTTGTGTTTTGCAGCAATACCCATATGATATACCAACAGAGGCCTTCACATTTGAGATTTTCAAACAGGCATTTGTTGCCATTCAGTCCTGTGTGGTGCATTTGCAGGTAAACTTCTCATTTCCTGATGATTAAATTGATTTTCCTTCACATTTCATATGCCCATCCTGTGGTCCAGACAAGTCCGAGACCTAGTTTATCTCTTCCTAATTACATAATCTGGTTGAGTATGTTGACATCTTTATCAAACTAGATTTAGTTTGAATGTTGCATCTCCTAATACGTATTTTTGCTTCTGTTGAACTCAGAATGTCAGTTTAGCTCGAAGATTTGCTTTAGTTCCTTTTGGTCCTCCACTATTGGCTTACAGTTGCAACTGCAAGGCAATGCTTACTGCTGTCGATGGTGCTGTTGAACTCGTGGTAGATAGACCATATAAATATGGGGATCCCATAGTTGCCTGGTGCGTTTCTGAGCTGAGTTGCATATGTTTGCAAGTTTTCTCTCTCCGATGGATCTTTCCTACATCTTCTATATTTTGTTTCAGGTGTGGGCCACAGCCTAATGCTAGATTGCTTCTGAACTATGGTTTTGTGGATGAAGATAATCCTTATGACAGAATAATAGTTGAGGTAACTGTGAAATTCTGCCCCCATTTTATGAGCTTCTAAACAGTGCATACTTGATAAAAACTTCTTATGCTTTATCTGTCGTGTCTTGCAGGCAGCATTGAGCACCGAGGATCCTCAGTATCAGGACAAGAGAATGGTTGCTCAAAGGAATGGAAAACTATCCCAACAAGTTTTTCAGGTATGCAGTTGTTGATTTTTTCCATAAGTCATGTGCTATACGTGATGTTTTTTCTCACCTTGTTTTGTTTTGGCTTCAGGTTCGTGTGGGAAAAGAAAGAGACGCTGTTCAAGACATGCTTCCTTACATGCGATTAGGTTATGTGTCGGAGCCCTCAGAGATGCATTCGGTTATTTCTTCCCAGGGGCCAGTTTGCCCGGTAAGTAGAATGTGTTACATGATTGATTTGCCTGTTCGAGTAAATTACTCGGTTCCCGTAATCTTAAACATTTCCTTCATTGTATCAATCCTCAATGACAGACGTGGGATGGGAGGGCTCTAGTGTTATTTATGTTATAAGTTGTTTACACGCCAGTAAAGGTTTAATTTTGTTTCCGTTGTAGGTAAGTCCTTGCATGGAAAGAGCAGTGTTAGAGCAGCTTGCTGATTACTTCAGGAAACGGCTTTCGGGCTACCCTACTTCTTTGAATGAGGATGAAACATTGGTATGACATCAGAACAGACTTTATGATTTTTAAGTATGGGCATGTTTGATCATCGGTTCTTCCTGCATATTTTGATCGGGTTCATGCTCGATAGTTGGCAGACCCTACCCTGAACCCTAAGAAGCGAGTTGCTACCAGACTAGTCCGATTGGAGAAGAAAATGCTAACCGCATGTCTTGATGCCACACTGGATTTGTTAAATCAGTTGCCAGATACAACCATTGCTCCCTGCCCGGCACCATATGCTCCGTTGTTGAAATAGAAGAAGGTAAATTATCCTTGATGTCTTCTTCCTTCTTCCCTATATATCTCTTGGAAGATCATACTATAGTCCTGAAGGTGTTGGTGCAGGCTGCTGTCGTGGATTGAGAATCTTGAGGAGCGGTTGGTGGGGAGTGTCATTTTGGCTCTAATCTTGGTGAGACGATGATGATGATGATGATGACATGACTAAGGAGGAGATGTTCTAATCTTGAGTGCAGGTGGAGATTCAACATTTTTTGCTTATCATTTGGGGTAAATATGATGGTGTTTACATTTCTAGATTGTTGCAACAGGAGCAGATATAATGATTGACAAGCAATGTCCGAGGCTCACTCCCCTTCCCTTCCCTTTCCCTATGCAAAAATCTGCTTCTTGCCTTTACCCATTTCTTGTAAAAAATTAAAAAAATTAAATAAGCAAGAGCTCTCTTTTTTTTAACGTCACTTGTGTTCGGGCTGAATCTCAATTCCCAATATCAATCGACGAGGGTTGTTGTAGACGAAGCCCAATTGTCCCAAGGAGTCAGAATATATCCGGGCCTTCTTCAGTCGTCTCTTTTTTGTTACAATTACGTCTAAGTAGAAGAAGAAGAGATTACATCTTATAATGTTGTTATGTGTAGCTTTAAAATAGAAAATCAACAAATTATAATGAAACAATTCGAAATATAATATGCTTATGTCATTTAGAAAAGCTCCATTTTAGTTATGTACTTGTGTGTGTAAAATTTTCAAGGAAAGGTACATGGCGTTGGCAATTAAATGTTTTTTTCAAATATTATTATTGTTTTTTTTTTGTTGAATGTGATTGGAAGTAATAATAATAATTATTATTATTACTATTATTATTATTTTATATATATATTGTATTTTTTTTTTATTTCTTTTGGGACAGAGTATAGCTGAAGGAATTATCTTATCCACCTCTTACATAATTACCCCCAAAAAAATGAAAAAAATAAAATCTCCCTCCATGTTGTTCCTGCTGTACTTGCACCACTCGCGATTATTACAAAAAAAAAAAAAAAAAAAGATTATAACCTCCAGAAAGAAGGATAAGGGAAATTAAAAACATTCTGTGATTTTATGAGGAAATTTATTGATTAGGAATAAATATGTATTTCGAGTGAAACCGATTTATCTTTAAGGGAAATAAAAATAAAAATGGTATAGAATCTTGGAAGGGCCAAACGGCCGCAACCTCATTCTATTCTTCTCATGGAAGAAAATTAAAGCACTTTTTATATTCCGGCAGAGATTTGGGACCATTCCATTAGAACAGGAACTCACATAAGCTTTCCTTGTCCAAAAGATTAATGTAAAACTCGCATCACATGTGACTAATGACATTGAATATAACCCATTTTCATGCGTACGATCATTTCATAATTGCAAATATCAATTTATATCTCATGTCATTATGATCCATTAACCCCGTGTTATGGCTCCCTTAAACACCTCTGATTCGCCTCTCCTTTTTTTTATTTATCATTTATATATCGTGAATGTAGATGTCTATTAATTCGTGTATTTGTAAAATTTTTAAAACATAATTGTGCAAGAAAGATTGCAAAAGCAAAATATTTTCAACGAATCACGTGAGTCAGAATTAAAACCAGATGATTCAAAATAGAACCAATAAATAAATGTGTGATTAAGTTGGCATAAAGAAAGAAACGTGACAAATGACAATACATAGATATTTTTATATATGATAAAAAAACAGACAAATGATTAAAAAAAAAGGTTTTGTTTTATGTAAATTAGATCCAATTGGATAACGCAGAAAAGCTGCGTGGGGGGGGTTCGTTTGCTTCTACAAAAGGAAAGCTAAAGATCGAATTCTCATGAATCAACATTGGATGCATCATGCAATCAATAGCAAAATATTCCATCAGATCTCTCTCTCTCTCTCTCTCTCTCTCTCTCTCTCTCTGTCTCTGAAGAAATAAATATACAAATAAAAAAAAAGGAAATAAAAGCTGAGAAAAAAACGCTTTGGAAGTTTGCTTCAACATGAAACAATGGATACCCACGAAAGCCTAACATCGCTTGTTCAAGCAACCAAATACTAACCCAAAGTTTTTTTTATAATTATATCAACATCACCACACCTTCCCCTCACTCTTCTTCCAAGTGAAGTTAAACCTATTCCCCAGAGAGAGAGAGAGAGAGAGAGGTGGTGCAATGGAAGAGTTTGTGGCGGAGAGACTTCTAAGGGGAGATAAAGCAGCTAAAACACAAGCGGCAGTGGAGCTGAGCAATCTAAGCAGGAAGCAGAGGCATAAACTGGCGGAGAGAGGAGTTATCTCTCCTTTGATATCCATCTTACACTCTCAAGACCATAATTCCATTGAAGCCGCCCTATCAGCATTGCTCAGCCTCGCCTTCGGCAGTGAAAGGTCTCTGTGTGTGTGTGTAGTATTGCAGCGGCCATGAATGTCATGTCAGAACATGGTCACTAACAGTTGTTTCCCGAACTTACAGGAACAAAGTTCTGATCGTGAAATCTGGTGCAGTCCCAATACTGATCGAAATCCTCCAGTCAGAAACCAGGACGGCAATAGTCGAACTGGCCATGGCCTTCCTTCTCATCCTCTCCTCCTGCAACAAAAACAAGCCCAAGATCGCATCTTCCGGAGTGATTCAGCTCTTAGTTAGACTTATTGGCTGCACCGATGCACTCAGCGTTCAAGCCAATGCCGACGCCATATCGACGCTACACAATCTCTCCACCCACCGTCATATCATCCCCATGATCATTTCCGCTGGAGCAACGTATGCTTTGCTCAAAGTCATAAACTTTTCGGACAAATCTTCCGAACTGGCTGAAAAGGCGGCAGCTTTGCTGGAAAACACGACTGCCCACTCGCCAGATTCAGCGTCATGCATCGAAGGAGCGATAGGGGTGCTGGTGGAAGCCATTGAAGAAGGGTCGGCCCAGTGTAAAGAACACGCAGTGGGGATATTGCTAAGGGTCTGCAAGTGGGACAGAGAGACGTACAGAGGGATGATACTGAGAGAAGGGGTGATGCCGGGGTTGCTTCAGGTGAGCGTGGATGGGACATGGAGGGGGAAAGAAATGGCGAGAGAGCTGTTGCTTCTACTGAGGGATAGCTCTGGATCTGGTTATGGCTTTAAAGGCAAACAATCAAAGAAGGAGTTGGTCGAGGAGATTATGAGAGAAATTGACGAAGGAGGAGAGGAAATACATGGTGGCACCACATTGAGATTAGTTGAAGAAATGATTGCCAGACTCAGCAGCACATAGCTCTTGGCTAAATTTGTAGGACGTTCCCTTCTTTTCTATGCATAAGAAGAAAAATCTCGGCAAGTGGATTGATTACTGATGGACGAGAGAGGTGCTTCATCACTTCGACAGTAAACAGACAATTTGGAAGTTTTCTGAACGATTTTACATTGAGAAAGTTAGATACTTTTTTGTGGCGAGAGCTTGTATAGACAAAAACGCCGATCTTTATTTAACTTTGTTATAAAAAAAAGAAAGTCATTGGGTCCATCATAAAGATGATGACTTTGGGGGGGATTTCCTCTTACAGTCACTGTCTATGACAAGCTCTGGTTACTGGAACTGGAGGGTCGGTGAGTGAACCGTTGAGGGTACGGTCGGCCACGTACTTGTTGGCAGCCTCAGTGTAATGAACTCCATCCCAGCTCACTGCTGCTGCTGGCTTCGGACACGACCCTCCATATATTTCTGTGCTGTTCACTTTCCCTTTGTTTCCGCACCAGATGTGGTCGAACTTCTCATGGTATCCGCAACATACCTTCAATGGATCGGCGAATCCTGTAACGCAAAACCCAGTTAACATCTATCCACTAATGTGAATTCTTGTTTTCTTTTTTTTTTGTGTGCTTATATACGAAGAGTTTTTTTTTTGGGTTAACCTCGGCTCTTGGGGTTGCTGATCATTTCGTACTTGGCGGAGTAGACATCGACATAAGTGATTGCTGCTTCAGTGAGCTCGGACCGTAGCTTGATCACCGCTTCCTTGAGCAGACGGTTGAACTCCATGGACATTTGGTTCTGGGCCTTGACACAGCCGTGTTCGTCAAGGTATCCCGGAGGAGGGTTTCCCATATAAAACATGTTCACTGGCAAACACCCGAAAGGTCCAGTGTTGTGTACCCAGAATGATCTCCCTCCTCTCTCATATATGCTCTGTCACATACATACATAGATACATACCCATCATGCCTTTGTCACCAAGGAATCAAACCCACTAAAAAAAAGGGCATCTTTTGGAGGAAATTGCATGACCCATGAGTTAGAACTATACATCTACAATGATGAAGTGAGCTGAATCAACTGGATTAGTCAGATTTGGATTGGTCTTAAGCCTTAACCCAGGAGATTTTCAGATGACAGTACTTGTTTCAATAAAGGGGGTGATAGAAAGCATAGACTGACCCGGACAGCAGAAGCAAACTGGCTGACAATGTCTGGAAGCGTAGCCTTCAGTTGATCAAAGCTCATCGTCCGAAACCCAACAGAGATATCGTTTTGGCCGATATCAAAAGTATACAACGCCTTTGAAAAGTCTTCCTGCCTTGGAAGTTTATCCCTTTCTGCTCGGCTCTTGCCTGCAACCAGAAGACAGGCAAAACCCATCAAAATAAACCCCACATACCTCAGTCAGAGAGGAGAAGATTATCCACTAAAAGAAAAAAAGTTACAAACTTTGGCTCAGAAGTTGAGCGGATCTTGCTTTGAACTGGTCGAACTGAACAACCTGCATGTCGAGGGAGAAAGGGCTGATGCCGTACTGGAAGATGGTCTCGTTCTGCCTTCTGATGGTTGATCCTCCGGTTGCAAAGTTCGCACCATTTCTGAAGTTTGCTCCTAACGAGTTCAGGTACGCGCTCAAATACGGCAGCCCCAGCCTCTCCGCTGTCATTTTCTTACAATAAATCTGAATCAGAGCATGCAGATTATTGCAGATGCGCCTGCTCTGCTCTGTGTTGCATCTACTTTAATTAGGGAATTGTCAAAAACAATAATCAACAAAACATCGGACCTATGAAATCGATGGTGAGACGACCGTCGGAGTCTCGGCCCGAGGGTTCGCGGAAGAAAGATTGGCCGTAAGGAGACCTTATGGGCTCAAACGCCGCCGATATTCCTCCCGTGTCCGAATTAGAATCCCCGAAGTTATATATCGCCGGAAAACTACACGCCGGCTTTTCCCCGGCGACTGTCTGTGACGACAGCCACGATACCACCGCACAACAAACCAATGCTCTTTCAATAACTCGATGCCTCATTGTAGAGAGAGAAAAAAAAAACTATGGTGGTAGAATTGTGGCAATGATAGAGAAGAAGAGACGAAATGAAGTTGATGGATGTCACTGTTACATAATTCGGTTTGTTTTGTTCCTTGGATATGGCGGTGAGTTATGTACTTTTAGTGAGGATTTTCAGTAAAGTGATATAATACAGAATTATATATATATATTTTTTTACTGGGAATGATTATTGTCGAAGGAAAAAAAACGTGTCTTGTGAGTCGTGCCATGCCATCGAAAGGTCAAATAATCGTGAGCTGTTTTTTAGGTTGGATGCCGGTAATGTGCAACGGGTCAATTTGTCGGTAACAGGTAAAAAGAATGTGGACAGTTTATGTTAAAACCATAATAACGTTATGAAAATAAATATAGAGAAAAATATTTAAGTAATTAAAAATAATCGATCCAAACCGGGCAGTATAATTTTCAGTTGCGATCGTTTTGGGCCGCTTCACGTGTTGTTTTGGAGATTGGGTATTGATAATGGAAAGGTGGGCCGAAGCTGTTGACGTTTTGACCCATTTATTGTCTTCAAGAACATGCAATACAAAAATATCTAAAAATCGAATATTTGCAGGCAAAAAAAAAAAGTCTTAAAACACGAAATTCGAATTCAGATTTTAAGATCAGATAGTTATCCATAATAAAAAATAACTGTTACACATTTGAGTTATTAGAAAATTATAAAAAAATCTATCAATTATCCAAGTATTTTTATCTTTAAATATATAAAAACTATCGTTTTATTATCTAATTATTTTGAATATAAATATTTTTAATAATTTTATAAATTATTCGTATATAATCTATAAATTTATAAATATTTAATAGAACTCATTAAATTCGAGTATCTACGATTATCTCATCGACAATACAATTCAAACACTCAGAGACTCAAACTAGGGTTTGATTCGGATTCAGTTTAGATACCCTAAAAATGGTGAATGGCCCCCCATCTCTCTGTCCGTCCCTAACTCCAGCTTCTGAAAACGCCCTTTCATTGCGTTTGGACATTTTCCACAATTGTTATTTTCAAGCTGTCACAGATGGATGTCTAAGTGAAGGCCCACCACCACTTCTTTCCGCCTTCAATTCTTCATGGACCCCCATTACTGTGCCTTTCTCATCTTTTATTGCTTCTTCTTCTTCTTCTTCCTATGGTTGATTGTTTCTATGTGATGTCACTTGTTGATATTCCCCATGGCGATGGAGTCTTATTGCCACCTTCCATGCTCTTAATTGCTCTCTGTTGTCTTCATTCTTCACTAAATTGTTGATAATTTATTCAGTTAAAGCATGGTATAAATGTAGAAACGGGTATTTAACGGAATCAATCTGTTCAAAAAACCATACGTCTTCATCTTCTTCCTCTTTTTTCCCATTAAGCATATACAGTGCCGCTTATTGTCCCAATCTCCCTTAGCTCCCCGCCCTATCATTCCTCCTCTCTCTCCCCGAGAAAAAGCTTCGAACTCAATCTCCGACAGCAAAGCCAGAGAATGTTGGCCGTCTAGGGAGAGGGAGAGAGAGATGGGAGGGGTGACGTCATCGGTCGCGGCGAGGTTCGCCTTTTTCCCCCCGAGCCCGCCATCGTACAAGCTGGTGACCGACGAACTCACCGGACTATTGCTGCTGAGCCCCTTTCCCCACCGCGAAAACGTCGAAATCATGAAGCTTCCGACGTGTAGAGGTACGGAGATAGTGGCCATGTACGTCAGACATCCCATGGCCACGTCTACGCTGCTCTACTCCCATGGAAACGCTGCCGATCTGGGACAGATGTACGAGCTCTTCATCGAATTGAGCATTCATCTCAGAGTTAATCTCATGGGGTCTGTGTCTTTTTCCTCTGTTTTCCCCTCATTAACTTTCCCGTTTTTGTTCTCTCTATCTGTTTTCACCGTGTTTCTGAGGCTTCTGTTAAGTGTCTCTGCTTGGAAACGTTAGCTGATGCGTTATCGTGTTCGCTCTGGTGATTTTGGTATCAGGGAATGATCAAATTTGTAGACTTTTGCACTGGAATTTCTGATTGCTAGGGTTTGGAATTGTTCCTTGGTTTGATTTGGTGATGTTCGTACCATCAAAGTTGTAGCTTTGAGGTTTGTTCTTTCTGCTCCTTTGGTGATCACTGGAGCTGGGTTTCATCACATTGTGTTTTTACTTTCGTTTTCCTCGTCATCTCCATTACGGATTTAGCTTCTAGGTTCCTTCTGGTCCAGTTGTTTGATTGCTTCTTCAGTAAGGTCAGGCTTTTTTGGCATCTGGGTGTTATGAAATTCATGGTTTTGCATCTATCTGTTCAGGCCTCTATTTGATCCTGTTTGTTAGGTTCTGTTCTTGTTCACAAACAGTTTCATAAGACAGAGTTTTCATTTCAATTCGGTTTTCAGTTTACTTTTGATGAAATAGTTTCACGGCCCCAAAATGTTTGGTTCTCCAACCATTACCTTGATCCGTTCAGGCATCTGTTTCTGCTGCTTTGGCTGTTATCTATCAACTCAATTAGTTGAAAGAATGCAAGCATAAGTTTTTCTTCATGCCTCCGCCTTCTATCGAAACGGGACGTATTCCTGATTGACCAACTCTATTACGTGGCTGCAGGTATGATTATTCCGGGTACGGACAGTCAACCGGAAAGGTTTGTTCTTTCTACTTCAGGAAGCAGAGAATGATAATTTACTCTGTTAAGTCAGAGTTTAGGACCAAACCCTGAATCTTTGTATTGCTTTATGACACAGCCAAGTGAGCATAATACATATGCTGATATCGAAGCTGCTTACAAGTGCCTTGAAGAAAGCTATGGCGCGCAACAGGAAGACATTATCCTGTATGGTCAATCTGTAGGGAGTGGCCCTACATTGGATCTCGCTGCCCGATTGCCGCAGTTGAGGGCGGTTGTCCTTCACAGCCCCATTCTCTCGGGTCTAAGAGTAATGTATCCGGTGAAGAAAACCTACTGGTTCGACATTTACAAGGTATCTTATATGGATCTTCCTTTCTAAATATCGGCGGCTTCTCATTACAAGTGTCCCATTCTCTCGTGTCCTCCTGTGATGTTTTTTTTGGCAGAATATTGACAAAATCCCATATGTCAATTGCCCAGTTCTCATTATCCATGTAAGTTCAGTCGCATTCTCTCTTTACATAGAAGCTTCCATGGAATTGTATAAACGAGTCATCTTCTTCCTGTGGTAGGGAACTTCAGATGAGGTCGTGGACTGTTCCCATGGAAAGCAGCTGTGGGAATCCTGCAAGGAGAAATATGAACCGCTTTGGCTCGAAGGTGGAAACCACTGTAATCTTGAACACTACCCAGAATACATCAAACATCTGAAGAAATTCATCTCAAGCACCGATCGATCCGAAAATCAGAGCACCAAAAGAAGAGAGAGGCCGAGGCAGGAGGGCACTGACCGGAAGGAGAGAGAAAGGCCATCAAAGAGTCTGTGGAAGAAGACTAAGCTTCGACTGTCCTTTGACCATCTGGATCGTTCTCGGAGAAGCGTTGACTTCCACGCCAAGGCTCGTAAGAGCGTTGACCATCACCAGATTGAGAAGGGAAGGAAAAGTGTTGACAGATTGGATAGAATACGGTCCGAGTAATCCTGCCTTCCCACGAGCGCGCGCGCACACACACATATATATATATATATATATATAGGTGAGTACATACTGTTCTTACAGAACAAAGAACATGTGATTGGTGATTATGAAGTTTTATGCAAATGGGTTGTGGCTATTGGGAATGTTTTATGGTTGGTCATTACGTAATTGTTTATATATTAGCTTGCATAAGGGCATTTGGTCTAGTGGTATGATTCTCGCTTAGGGTGCGAGAGGTCCCGAGTTCAATTCTCGGAATGCCCCTTTGTTTTTTATGTTTTTCATCAATTATTCTGCCAAGTGCTGCAAATATGATATGTATAATGTATATAATCCACGACAATTCTTGGAGTGGGCCTAATAACCCGACACGACAGTACTCTTATGGTACGAAGTCTAGTCATGGGTGAATGATGACGACACCCTTTTGTAAAATTGTGAACATTTCGAATATCGAAAAGCCCACTTGAGGGTCGCCCGCTGTCTTTTCCCCCCCCCAACAACTCCGATCACTATTCGATTACGAATTTTCATAAGATAAGGTCTTCAATTTTAAAATTATCAAGTAAAAAAAAATATATACAAGCAGAACCCTATCTCTTTACTGGTGGGTTAATTGATTGATTTGTTGGGCCAACTTTCGACCGATGTGGCTTCCATGCCATGGAGTTCCGTATGCGGCGCTTAGTTTCGGAGCCATTCACGAAAATTACGTTACGAGGAGATGAGATGGGTTTCCCTTTCTTCTTTTTTTTTTTATATACATTGAATTCAAAGGCATGCATGACAAGAAAAGGCTTATATATATATATATATATATTAATACGTACATTGCATATTGCATTGCACATGTGAAAGATACGATTGGTTTATATATATGCATTATACAACACTTCATCTAAAAACTTGATTTATTATATATTAATGATATATTTCTCACGTATAGACCAAAGAAAAAATAATGCAGATAAACAAATGGAATCGTGTTCGTCTATCTATATGCATAATAAATTAGGTATAATTCGGCCAACAATTTGTGTGAATAACAATTATTGGCTACTCATTTACAAATACAATATTTATCACAAAACTTATTTTTAAGCATATAGTTGCATCATTCGTTTTACATTGATCATGCTAAACTTTAAATTCCAAACGAGAGGATTAGAAGACGGGAAAACTTTATAATAAGCTGACTAATTAATTGAATTGAACGACAATGAGGATGATGATGATTGAAAAACTTTACGAATATCTTCTCCAAAATTCTTGGTCCCCTACCCATTCCCAATATATATACCAAATAAATTAACTCTTTTAGGAAAGAGGGAACTAGTTGGTAGCTTTCATTATTTGCGTATAATATGCTAATTTGTATGTGTCTGTGTATATATATTCTTATCGTACGTATATGCCTATTGGTTGTTGTTTATAATTGTATATATTCCCTTTAATCACCGTATATATTGTGACTGGTTACATCAATAAAAATAATACATAAGCGCGGCTCTTTGATGCTCCCAAGTTGCAGAGTCCATCGTATATCAAATCGCATTTGGACTTGTGTTTTCCGTTGACGTTAGGATTGTATCTCATCTCATCTCTTAGGTTTTTTTTTGAAAAATTTAAACATATATATATATATATATATATATATTTGTATAATTATGCACTGTAACACGCACACGGTCACACGTGTAAATGCGATCAGTCGAAAAATAAAGATAAATGAGAGTAAGTATATATGTATATATGATGGATGAAATTAAGAAGAAACGAAATCGCATCATCACGCGCCATGCATGATATACAGCTTGGAGAGCCGTTATTTTATTTTATTTTCAAATACACAAGAAACTAAACTACTGAAAACACGATTTCACATTTACGTGTAATATTTACGACCAATAATATTGCTTTGTTATTCTCAGAGATGGAATGAATTATCTTGGAGATTGCCGAAAAGATCCCAAGGCACCAAAGGATCCACCATATCCAGTACGTTCCACTGCTCAAAGGAGGTGGAATCTTCCGGGAGATACGAAGACTCGCTCGTGGAAATGTTCATACTGTTCGATTCATCGACTGAACTCATCGAAGGGTTACTGGCCAAAGAAGAAGACATGTTGGTTTCTGGTATTTGGAACAAAGATTCCATTCCCATGTCTTCGAACAGAGATTCGAAGCTGTTCAAAAGAACATGATCGTCGTTGGTTGCCTGAGCGTTGACCGGTGGATCAGGACTTTGGTTTGGATGGGTTTGTTCGGTGTTATTATCGATCGGTTTATGCGTTATCGGGTCTAACCCAAGAAGCTTCATCTTCCTCTTGATCTTTGTGTTCCAGTGATTCTTGATCTCATTGTCCGTCCGACCCGGAAAATGAGAGGCGATCTTAGACCACCTACACATCAATATCATTACAAGTTCATAAAAACTTTATTACAACACACCCATGTGTGTAAATATATATATAATTGTATTTTTTCGATCTCCCCGAAGAGAAGGTAAGTGTTTCGTACCGGTTGCCAAGACGAGAATGAAGTTCGATAATACGGTCTTCATCGTCGGGTGTAAAACCACCTCTCTTGAGATCAGGCCTCAAATAATTAATCCACCTCAGCCTGCAGCTCTTACCACATCTCAATAGACCTTCATGAACGTCCCCATGCAACCATGCATACGTTAAAAAAAGAAGAATAGGAGAAATAAATAGTTATAATTTACTTCTTTAACGCAAGAATAGAAAGGAAAAGAGAGACCTGCGAGTTTGGGGACAATTCTCCAGCAATGGATGCCATTGTTAAGTATGAAGTTGATGAGCTTATGGTCTTCCTCTATAGTCCATGGCCCTCTCTTCATTCCAATCTTATCACAGCATGGTTTTCTCCCCATTATAATATTTGCCTCTCCACGACGATTGGTAGAGAGAGAGAGAGAGAGAGAGAGGCAAAGAGAACATCAGAGAAACGCTTGCTTTGGTGGGAAACTTATAAAGAGAAGAGTTTTTGGATGCAAAGATTGATTCGTCCTTGCCAGTTCACTCTACTGCCAAAGCACACATAAGAGCTGTAAATAATGATTGCAATGATTAACGAAAAGAACGACTAATTAGGCTTTAAATATTTATCAAGTTGTCGAGTAATTTATTTGTATAAATGAGTTTATATATTATTATACCCAACTGACCAATCAGAACGTAACAATTTAGTCCTGCGCGGTAATTTGTATAGGAGGATATACTGTGCAATGATCTCTCTCTCTCTCGATATATATATATATATATCCGTTTCTATGAGAAAATATCTATTGATTTTATAGTTAATTCCAAATAACATTAGTCTATGATAAAATGGGGCAAATCGCTGGCCGAGTTCGAATCCCAAATTGAGGAAGAACCACATAATTCAAATCACATGGTTTGTTTCCGCTTCTGGAATTAGTCTCGGTTTAGAAAATTCAGTTACTTAAAAAAAATAAATTTAGAACAGTTTTGCTTGTATGAGTTTGAAGTTATTTTATTGAAACCACAAAATAGATTTCAATAGATTCATACTATATAAATAGCCCCTAAACTTAAGGAATAAAATGAAACCCTAGTTTAAACATTTATAAATTAAATTTATCATGTATACTTGAAGAAATATAATAAACGATTATGAATTATATATATAAGTTAGATGATGTCATGACTCATGACGAGTCCGTGGATGGAGGGAGTGACTCACAAGAAAATTAAAATAGAATTGAAAACCAATGAATTCTCTCATTGGATTAATATTTTGAAAGTTGGTTTAAAGAAAACGATCGAGATTTGTTTTTATCCTCAACTGGCTCCCTTCAATTTTTTTTTAATAATTATTTTATATATGCTTAAATAATTTAGGTAACTCATTTTAATATAATATACTTTGTTTATTTGTTATCTTTTTTATTTTTTGCACCGTCATGATTTGCAACTTGCCTTGTAAAAAAAAATCGGTTTGACATATCCTGTTGATAAATTTATATCAATCTATGTGCTATTAATAGAATTATAATGGGGTTTCAGATTACTTTATAATTATAACGAACCTACTTTTATATGTTGAGATTTTAGTTATACAAAGAATAATTGGGAAGGAGTTGAGCTATTTATATATCAATAATTTGTGGAACGTCGATAAATGTTAATAATCTTTATTAAGAAATTATAGAAAGGCGGAATATCTCTCGTCCATGCATCCAAGAATATTCTCTCCCTACTTTATGGCATGCGTATTTATTATTTATTTGCAATTTACAGATATGCAAATCCAACTATTGAAGACCCCATTTCTCTCTCTCTCTCTCTCTATTATACATACGTACATATATGATATATGTATATATGTACGTATGAACACTAGCTAGGAACACCTTTTAGTTTATGGTCTTCAACTTTGCAAAATGTTAAAGTGTTCAGAACATGAAATTTTTGAGATACGGGATATACTATATATATATATATATATATATATATATATATATATATATAGTATATCCCGTATCTCAAAAATTTCATGTTCTGAACACTTTAACATTTTGCAAAGTTGAAGACCATAAACTAAAAGGTGTTCCTAGCTAGG